TTGGTTAAATTTGCCGTCGAAAGGCGGAAGGCTTTAGGGAAATCGATTTGATTCTAATCGCACCATGAAAAGAACATGATCTAACTGCTTTCAGCCCTCCGTAAATCTGTACTAGGTCTTTAGCACAATGCAACTTCCAATTTAAAAAGCACTGAATGTCTCGTCAATGACTTTGTGAAGAAAAAAGAACAAGGAGCAGACATAAAAATTCCAATAGTTGTTTAAGCATTAAAGTTCATTTGCATCACAGCAAACCTGAAAAGGGCTGACCTCTCAAACCGCCTCTCAGGTCTATGAAGTTGTAGCCTTGACAAGCTCACATTGACAGAGCTCATTGACTCTGAAAGGCTACTCTATCAATGGTGAAAAATGGCAATAGGTTCTACTCTGAGCAGGCATCTGCCTGCCCACCCGCTGCTAAACCAATGGCAAAACTGATTCAAAACCTGAATCTACCTTGTAATCTTCCTTTCCAGGACCTTTTAATAATAGATTAAGATCACTATACAATTTCATTGTTTGCCCAAAAGAGTGTGAAAAACATCTAAGCTTTTCAAATTCCAATAAAAGTGTGTGTGTGTATATTTTTATATATATATATATATATATATATAAAAAACAACATATACACATAAATAAGAAATTGATAGGTAGTTATGTAGTATCCATTGGTTTATTTAAATAATAAACCAGTTTAAAGTCCTTCTAATTAGTATAGTTCTGACTAGCATTAGATAAAAACACACGCAACTTTGAGACTATGAGTATCAAACCTACAATACAGTCCTTCCTTTACCATGAGTTAGGATATTTACAATTTCCAAACCACGACGCATTGTAGATACAAAAACATTAATGAAAATTAGACTGTAAAATATTTCTGCAAACCTCAGCTTGGGATAAAAAGAAATGAATTAAACAGCATCTCACAATTCACTATAGTAAGTTTTCTTCCCACTTGACAGGTGAAAAAAAGCACTTGCACGTGCAGCTTAATTAATCACTGCTCTTGACATCTCAATGATTTACAGTGAGGAGCAGGTGAGGACATACAAAACCAGAAAGGAACACTTGATGTGAGTGTAGCATTTCCAGCACACTAGGATGACAAGCTTATATATTCTATCAATGGTGTACAAAAAAACCTATACACCAAATTATTTGTTAGCCACAACAAAAGCACAAATTAAGTGGAAGAGAGACTTGCTTATTAAGAAGATTTAACACTATCCAGGCTTTTAAAATTTTTCTTAAAAAAAAAAGAGCAATATTTGACCAAAGCTAAAACTGCAATTCTAGTAGACTTTTTAGTATGCCAATAATAAAAAAGTATGTTTTGTAACATACTCTGTGAAAAATGCAGATTGTATTTAATGTCCACTTGACAAAATTCTGTGGATAGCTTCTTCAACGAACTATCTAAATATATTGTTTAATGAAATATTTCTGAAAAATAACTTTTTTTTTTTTTTTTTTATAAACAGATGCTCATGTCGGACAGCTTCTTTTGAAAAATTCCCCCTGGGCTACCAAAAAGCCCAACTCTGAATATGCGTTTACCAATTCATACTGCTCTCAAATAAGCAAACTAAAGTTTTGTCCTCAAACACGAAAAAAAAGAATTAGGAAGACTAAAATGAACTTGTCATGTGCAAACAAGGCAGTATCATACACAAATAAAGTGTTATCTACACTATGAACTGCAATATCTTTCTGTTATGTCTCCGCAGTGTCTACTCAAGTGAGGATGCATTTACTGATGGAGTTATGAGCTGGACTGGGAGGCTGTGCAGCCAGAGTCCCTTCTTGCAATGTGTGACCTGGAATCAACATGCCACACCAAAAACAGTACTAACGAATGGGCTGGAGCCACCTCAACTCCTGCTGCAAGTCAGTGAATGACTGGTAGAATACTGATACTAAACAAACAAAAAAAAAAGGATCTTATATGACACTCAAAATAGTGCTAATTTGAGTACTTCCCTTTGTCTTTCTTTAAACGGAAAAACAACATGAACAGTAGTAACGCGATTCTCCACTAACAATTTTTTTTCATAGTCTTCTGGGAACAACAGAAGAATCTCTCTATATCCATCTGATCTTTGACTTCCCATCCGAAAGCTCCAAAACAGATGTCAACTTGTAGTGCAACACTAGTCCAATAAACAGTATATGGAAACTTTCAAATTATTTTATAGGCACCTTTACCACAATCAAGTATTAATAATTTTGAATCTTGCCCTGAAAAAATACACTTCACGCTCAAATTTCAAAACAAAACAAATTTAAACAGGTTTTTGTTGATCCTCAGATAGCCAGTATTTGTATTAAACACTATGAAAGCAAGCCTCACGATCTTTTCAGTACTCTGAACTCACTGAAGTGAGTGATCTTCTCTCACTTAAAGGAAGAAATGAAGGAAGCTGGAATTTTGTATTTTTTCTCCAAACAAATATATACTTGTCTACAAAATAGGTACCCAAGTAATTTAGCTATCAGTACAATGAAATATAAACTTAATAGATAACTGAGTGACACAACTGTATGCTCACTTTCAACATGCCAGAACATTCTCCAAATGGTCTCTCACAACCAAATGCTTTCAGAGAGAGTCTGAAAAAAATGCACTTAAATTAATAGTGTGGGTATATAGTTTGCATGAGCTCAACAAAATCTACTGATGAACTATATCTGTGTGAGAAACATATGTGAACGGGCTGTAGACAGAGCTTAGAGGAAAAAGGTCTGGATTCTGAGCAGGACAGTGTCACTAAACAGAATTGCTTCTAGCACTAAAATATGCTTTCTATAGAGTTTATACTGTGTGGACTGAGAGAGATGTCTATACAATCTTAAGGCTAATATTGGTGACATGAACATGTAAGAGTCGTTATTGGAACCTGAATAACTGAAATACAGGCAACTACTACCATTGTGTTGACAGTCTTCACCTTGAACTCTGCATCACAAATGAAACCCTTCAGAAACTGTAAATTGGCAAGATTCCTATCTTACCGAGGAATTCTGTATTTGTGAAGGGCAAAGATGAGGCAGGTGAAAACTGAGCTGATTTCAGAGTCCTGACATAGCTGAATATCTGCTTCAGCACATATAGTGGTTTGAAAAGGGGTCTGCTCAGCCATGTAGATGCATCTTGCCTCATCCTTCTTATTGCACTTAGGAAACTTCTTACTAAAGACTAGTGCATGCGTACTCATCCCAGGAACTATGCAATATTCATGCAAGAAGGTGAGTGAAACCCATACACTGAATTGAAGAAAACACGGAAATAAATGTAGCATT